AGCAGAGGTCTTTACATTTTTGTTGTAATGACTGGAAGGGGACATTTCATCTAATATTTCATCTATAAAATATGTATTACAATGTAACTTTAATTTTTATATACTTTCTATAAAAATACAAAAATATTTTAACTTAGGTTATTAAATACGGAGTACAAAATAAAAGATTTGTACATGAAAGTAGTTACATGGTTTGCAGTTTTGCACCCATAATTTAAATATGTTTTTTTAGAAACACATCAACATATGCAAAAATATATAGGTAATTCTTTTTTTCTCCAAATTCATTTGATAAATGAAATATTAATGAATTTGATCAATTTCGGGTCTAATCGGTTTCGGGTCTAATCGGTTCCGGGTGTAACCGGGTTCAGGTTTAATCGGGTTTAACCGGGTTCGGGTTTAATCGGTTCGGGTTTAATCGGATTCGGGTCTGAATCGGGTCTGAATACATTCGGTTCGGGTTCGGTTCGGTTCGGACCATTTCGGGTGTTCGGTTCTATTTCGGTTCTTCAGTTTTCGGGTCAAATCGGGTTCGGTTCCGGGTTATTCGGTTCGGGTTATCGGGTCCGGGTCAGTTTTGCGAGGTCTACTGTCAACCGCGTGGCCATGATTTTCCACGCAGAATGATTGGGAACAGTCCAAGGCATTTTATTGAAGATTGGTTTGATAAATATCGTAGTTGGTTAGAATACAGTGTGAAAAAAGACCAAGCCTATTGTTTGTATTGTTACCTTTTTAGAGATCAATTTGGTAGACAAGGTGGGAGTGATGCATTTGTTGTTGAAGGTTTTAATAGTTGGAATAAGACAGAAAGATTTTCAAGCCATGTGGGTGATGTGAATAGTTTTCATAATAAAGCACTTGAGAAATGTGAAGCTCTAATGAAACAAAATCAATCTATACATGTTGCTTTTCATAAGCAAAGTGACTTGGTTAAGAATGAATACCGAATTAGGTTGAATTCTTCCATTGATGCTTGTAGATTTTTGTTGAAGTGCTCATTACCATTTCGTGGTCACGATGAGTCGGAAAACTCAATCTTTAAAGGAAATTTTCTAGAAACTATTCAGTTAATTCGAGAGCAAAATGAGTATGTTCGCAGAGTTACATTAACAAATGCACCAGGCAACAACCAAATGGTAGCTCCAAGCATTCAAAAAGATATTTGTGATTGTTTTGCTCAAGAAGTAATAAAATTCATTCTTGATGAAATTGGTGATAATATCTTTGCCTTGATGGTAGATGAATCAAATGATGTTTCAAAAAAAAGAACAAATGGCTGTGGTTTTACGATTTGTTGATAAGAATGGAATTGTGAAAGAGAGGTTTGTTGGTCTCATACATGTGAAGGATACATATGCTTTGTCACTCAAGTGTGCTATTGACTGTTTGTTTGCTGAATATAATTTGAGTTTGATGAAGCTTAGGGGACAAGGTTATGATGGTGCAAGCAATATGTCTGGTGAATTCAAAGGCTTGAAAGCTTTGATTTTAAATGAAAATCCTTCTGCATATTATGTGCATTGCTTTGCCCATCAACTTCAATTAGTAGTTGTGACAATTGTCAATGAACACTTAGGTGCTGGAAATTTTTTTGACTTAATATCTACTCTCATGAATGTTGTTTGTGCATCTTGCAAGAGAAAAGATATGATTCGAGAGAGTCAAAAACAAAAATTGGAAGAAGCAATTGGAAATGATGAAGTTAGAACTGGAAGGGGATTAAACCAAGAAATTTCTCTAATAAGAGCCGGAGATATGCGTTGGAGTTCACATTATAAAACACTATTGCGCTTGGTTGATTTTAAAGGAAGGCAAGAACTTCAAGAATTTATACAACTCCTACTTCGTCTATTCTCCCGATCATTCTGTGTTCGTTAACCAGAAGCTCAAATAAAATTTAGTAAACTTAAACACGAGATGAACGTAAATTACGAATCATAAAATCCTCAATGTCTATTATTATCACAAGCTCTTCAAAGGAAAGATCAGGATATCTTGAATCCGATGTCTTTGGTAGAATCAACAAAATATCAATTGAAGATGTTTAGAACGTCAGAATGGTTTGATTCTCTCTTGGTGAAGATATCAACTTTTTGTGCGAAATATAATATTCAGGTATTGGACATGAAAGAGGATTATGTTAATCCGAAAAGTCAAAGACAAAAGACCGGTTTCACAAATCGACAATATTTTGAGGGTCTTTGTTGCAACCAAGTTTTGGATTTGGTGAATAATGAGTTTGATGACCGCTTTAATGAAGTGAGCTCCGAATTGCTTATCTGCATTGCTTATTT